GGATCCATAATGAGTTACTGTATTTCTCCTTGTGGTCAATTTAGAGCTCTTTGTGTTTGTCTGGACCAAACTCCATAACTCACGATTTTACCAGCGTGACTCAGAGAGACACAGCATCATCACAACCTTCAATGCTTAGAACAGCTTCTCAAGAAGATTCCCTGGAAAATAACCAGGAGCAGCAAACAGAGCACCTGAGGACAGAAATCAATGCTATCAAAGCCAATTACAGAAGCAAGAATGGAGTATGGCAGGTTTTTTGATTATTTAGTCTTAACACTTTTCTATTGTTTATTGGTATTTCAATAAAGAATTTCTGCAATAATATTACATATAATGTCACAAAAATAGCAAAGATAAGTGATACCTAGTTTGAGGAGAAATAAGCCAGATGTTGGCACTCATTTAACTAAATAGTTATTTCTGTGTTATTTAGTACTGGAGGGGGGCGGGGGAGTTGTGATTGTATTTGTAATACATTTCTGTACATGTAACGAGGAAGTTCCAGAGTTACTGATATTTGTGGCACTATGTCTTTGTTTCTATGGTAATTTTTCATTGTCTGTTCATGGCTCTGTTTTCAAGGAGGACAGCACCCTTAATCAGTCAGTGCTTGCCAAGAACACTTTAATGATTACCCAGTCCCATCTGATGACTGCACGTGAGGGTATAAGACCATCCATTAGCCAAGATGACTGGAAGAATTTTTCTGAGCTGTAAGTATTAAATTTTTTTTGGTAATTGTGTATTCAGTGGAGATTTGGTCTTTTCACATTTCTTATTCATCAGAAACACAATAGTTATTTAACGTGGGGAATGGCAGAGTTGAATAGCTTCTGACAGCAATTTTTTTCAGAAATATTAAATTACATACAAAGTATTTTACCAGTGCATTGTCTTTTGTTTTTATTAATGTAGGACCTAGAAATTCTAATCACAGACCAGAAGACCCTTGTATTATGTTCAGAGCTATACCAGTATGAAGAGGCACCAATTCTCTCCGACTTAGAGCTAGGTCCTTCCTGCTCCCACTGAGTAGCAGCCCCTCGTACTTTCAAATTGCTGGGTTTTGACTCTCCGTGGTGGTCTTTGTAGCTGCTGTGCTTGGGAAAAGGCAATAATCTGCAGAAAAGGAGAATATGTCTCCTTAGACTTGGAAAAGACTGGAGTGAAAAAGCTGGAAACTGTCATCGGGATGTTCTGTGATTCACCAGCGGGTTCTTCTGACGTGAAGATTGTTAGGAGTTGTCTTCCTCAGCTGATACGTAGATAAGCAGGTCTTACAGCAGGGGAAAGAGAGAAGGAAGGGACAGGAAAGGAGGAGAATGAGAGATGCTTCCCAGGAGTCTATACCACCCTGTCCACTTCTGTTCCTTGTCCCACCTCCCCACCGCCCCAAAAAGTAAAAATAAAAAACAAACAAAGAGGAAGCAGGGCAGAGAGCTCTCTGAGTTAGGTTTGTGGCTGAAAACTCCTCCAGGTCCCCAGGTCTGAGGGGACATGCACTCTTCGTTTCCATAAAAATATACGTAAACATCTGCAGTTGTGTGTTGCATTCATGTGTATCTGAAGAGGCATATGCAAGCAAAGGCATTTCATAAGAATTTGCTAATATCTTTTTCTATTTCCAGGTATGATAATTTTCAGAATCCGAAGAAGAGGAAAGGACAAGTTGGCTCAACATTCAGACCAGGACAAAAAATAACTCTAGCTTAGTAACTTGTATTTGCTTGTAATTGCTAAACTGTAACTGGAAATTTCAAATGTGATTAAATCAAATTATTTATATTCATATGGATTTATTAATGCAGCAGTTGAAGATAAGTTTCTTTTAAACTTACATGCTGTAAAATTATGTCACATCTTATTTTGAAGAAAATTGTCTTCTTTCAGATTGATATTAAATTTTTGAGAGAACATTGGTTACGTTCTGTCCAGTTGTTTATCACATAAAATTTTAAATTTTGCTTTTTATCAATATAGTTGCCAAAACCTAACAATGATTTCCTATCCCTGTTTATTTCCTCACAACAAATAGATTCTGTTGGAATAAACTGTAATATCTAATGGTTGAAATGTTTTTAAAAAAAATTCTATAGAGCCATTCTCTAATGGTCTTTGGAGAGGTGTTAGAGAAGGGTGGAACTTCATATGTTTATTGGTAAGCAACTAGTCTAATACTTCCAGAACAAGTATAGCAAAAAAAGAAATATTAAGACAGACCAAGATAATTGTATCTTGTTTTCTGCCACTGTTTATTATTCCGAAGAATATCAAGTTGCATTTCACAACTGCTGTATCTTCTTATCCCCATCTTTTCTTCTTGGAGACTGTTCAAAAACATCTCTGATGTTTGGAAGCTTTCTAATGTTACATCCTGAAATTATTCACAACTACTGACTTACATGAAGATTGTTAAAGAGTTGTGTTTCTTGGCTGACACATAGATTAAGCAGGCCTTAACAGAAGGGGAAAGAAGGAAGGGGCAGGAAAGGGAAAAAAACTAGAGATGTTTCCCATGAGTCTGTACCACCCTTTCACAACATTTTGCCAATACCTGGGGGGTTTTGCTTGGTTGGTTTTTCACTAATCCTCCTTCCCTACTATTTATCTTCCTGAGGTAATTAGAAAACATTGATTTTTATTTTTTGGGGGGCGTCTTTCATAGCCGTTATGTGCCTTTTCACACCTGTATTGCTTTGGGCCATTGGTCATTATCACCCTTTCTGTGATCAGATAGCATGTCCAGGCTTCCTCTGGTCACTTCTTCAGGTACATTAGTAGCAGCAGCCTTCCTCAAGCCGCTCCTAAATGTTTGATTATATGGTCCCACTACATGTTCCAATTTGTTATTTCATGCATTGAAATGTATCATGCTATGTCAGTAATCAGAAGAACACATCACATTAAACAATGTAATCATACGGTCACTGCTGTCTATTTGTAGTTCCTATTCCCAGTGCCAGCAAATAACCCAAAGAATGCATGATTTGTGTGTTTATTCTTGCAGCCTGGTACCGGTGAAGCCTGTATACACTACAGGCCTTGATACACTACAAGTCTTAGCTCGTAGCAGTTAATACCCCTGACTTTCTCATTTATCCTGAGCTATTGCTTTCTACGCATACTTAACTCTTGCTTTAGTAGCTTCCGAAACTGAAAATCCTTATTGCATTACTACAAAGCCCTACTACTGTCAATACCGCTATGTCATTAACATCATACTTATTTTTTAAAAGTGGATCTATGTTTGTTTAGCATTAGAGCCATATCCTAGCTTACTTCTAACCTTGAGTTAATCTTTCTTATGTAATAGTGTCCTTTCTTTCCTTGTTCACCTTGTTTTAAATGGCTGTAGAGGTGAATATGAATAGAGGTTGAACAGTAAGCAATTTGCTGCAAAGCAGCAAGTCATTCCCTGCCACATGCTCCATGGTAACTCACCATGGTGGTGAGCTGTGGTAAATGTAAGGTACTCTGAAGAAATTTATCTTTTAACGGAAGAGGGGCAAAAACTATGGATATTGTTAATGAAGTGCAGCAGCTGACAAGCTGTAACTAGTTACTCTGCTTTGTTTATGTGTCAAAACTAAAAAACCATGGGTTTTTTTTTTTCATTTCCTTCTCCAGGTCCAGTAATTCATTTTGGCTATTTCTTGCCTTCAGGATGTAGTTTATTTGTTTATCAGTTTCTTGTCATCTTTTTCCGATGATTATTTATCCAGTGACATTTCGAGCTCATTCAAAATACTTTTTTCTCTTCCTCGAGCTTCAAATTCCACACAGTTTTCATCTCTAACCTAAGGAAATGTTATATTATTTTCTATTCAAATACTTGCACTGAAACTTCAGCCCAGTTAATTTAATTGATTAGTTCCTATAGTTTCTCAGATAGCTCTAGCAGCTTTTCACTTATTCTTCCACCTACTGGCTTAATGATTTTGCAGTCAAAGTTTCTTTTCTACAACTAGTGCTCTGTAAGAAGGTGGTCCTCTAGCGCTTCCCTTGCCAAAATTGTTTAAAGTACATTGCAGTTTATTACATCTTTTCTGTTCGGTAAAGAAGTCTTCAACTGTTACAAAAGCATCCAGGTTAGCCCAAATTAGTACTAGTACCTGTTCTTTAACTTACATCTAAATAATGGATGCACCAGATTTATTAGAAATAGAAAAGATTTAACCTTCCTAGTAATGACAATCTCATAATGCACTGATACTTAAATCTGAAAGGACCAGTCAGAGGCCAATCATAATTAAAACAAAGACAGTACAATAATCTGTGGATTATCTTCACACTTGGAATCATTTAATTAGAGGACTATACTTCAATGCCAAGTATTATATTGTAAAGTTAAAAAGGAGAGCATGCTTGTGTTAGGCTGTATGTCGAGGTCCTGTCAGTCCTCAACCAAAATTAGATACTATACTGTCATGGAAAATGTTCTTAAAAACCGGGAAGCCTAGGTTCCAAATCTGCTTTCCAAATCTGCGCTCTTCCTTTCTACGTGCAAGGAATTTCACCAGCGTGCTGAACTAACTCGGGGGTGTGCGGGTGGGTGTGTATATACACCCTCCCGCACACCCCTATATAGATAACCTTGGCTATTGCTGTGGGTAGTATCATTTGATCCAAGAAAGTAGGTCACTATTAATAACCAGTTGCTGTTAGGTGATCTTCGGTTACATTCTGAATTATATTAACATCTCATCTTAAAAGATAGTAGAGTATCTAAATGAAGCCTGGCTAAGATCCGTTGCACAGGCACAGGAGTCCAACGCACAGGGAGCATAAAGCCTACAGCTAACTGGGGGACAATCCCTTCTGTACAAGCGTTGTGCAAGAAACGTCAGCTGGCCTGTGGAGGCTTTTTCACAAGGCCCAGTTGTTAAGTACGCCAAGAGTGAAAAGGGACCAAAACCAACGTTTGTTTCACGTTCCACAGGGCAGCGGGGCTTTAGCCGCAACGGCTCATGAAGATGCCACAGGCAGCCCAACGGCGGATGTCGTGTTTGAGCCTTTTGACCTCTGTTTTCCACTCTCCTCCATCAAGTCAAGAACCAAGTGAACTCCGTGTGAACCAGCAACCTAAAGACGGACAAATTCTGTGCCTCCCTAGTAGCTCATCCGTCATTCCTACCTCCCTTAAGTGATACTGATGTCGGTCTTTCTGGGTATATCTTACAGCCCATATAAAAGGTTGATAACCTGGGGTAGCTTTTTCCTTTCACTCCTGTTGTCACCAACATTGTCAGCTGTCACTGACCTTTTCTCAATTGCCAACCAGTCTTTCCCCGTAGTCAAGCGACTTCTGAAGAAACAAGTGTTAAATATAGATGTAAACACTTACCTTGTTTCTAACGTGCAAGGGATTATTTCACTTTGTTAACAGGAACTCAATTTCCACTACTATCCTGTAATTTTTCTTAAAAAAATGTTTGGGCAGCTTTTACTCTAAAAATGATTTACGTTCGAAGCTGTCTTCTTACAGCTGTGTAGCTGATAAGTTTTTCAAATACTGCCTTGGAAAAATGTACCTGTTTTGAAGCGATCCACAATTCTGGATTGAGTCTGTTGACAACTAGAAAAAGTTTCTTGAATAAAAAATGAGATAGTGGGTCAATTCTGCTAAATGCTGATTTAATCAGTGCAATTAACTCCACTGAAAGCATCATATGTCTTAATGTCGAGACATTAAGTAATGTCCAAATTACCAGATTAGGAATTTGGTAATTCCTAATAAGCAAAATCTGCCAGACGTGCTTTTCCCAGAATTGGGGACATTGAATACCATCCAATGTGTTAGGTCCTTTTATTGTTAACGCCATTCTGCCGTAAATCACATTTGTTGTATGTTTGGGAAACAGAATTTGTGTTGTACAGTAAAAATTTCACAAGGTATTTGTTACATAACTTCTACTTCTTAAGGGATCAAACTTTGTTCCATTTCCAAAGAGAAAAAAAACCATTTGAAATGAAATTAACAGACAAGCAATGTCTGCCGAGGCTCAGATTACATTAGGCTTATGTTTCATAATAGACGTCACCAGCTAGAACTCTGCTTGACAATATTTTAAGCATGACAGTTAGCAGCCTGCTTAAACACACAAATTTTATGATTTACATTAGGTTTTGTCCTGGTTTCGGCAGGGATAGAGTTAATTTCCTTCCTAGTAGCTGGTACAGCGCTGTGTGTTGGATTTAGGGTGAGAACAAAGTTGATAACACACCCATGTTTTAGTTGTTGCTAAGCAGTGTTTGTACTAAGTCAAGGCCTTTTCAGCTTCCCATGCTCTACCAACTGAGAAGGCTGGAGGTGCACAAGAAGTTGGGAGGGGGCACAGCCAGGACAGCTGACCCAAACTGGCCAAAGGGACATTCCATACCATGTGACATCATGCTCAGTATATAAAGCTGGGGGAAGAAGAAGGAAGGGGGGGGACACATTTGGAGTGATGGCGTTTGTCTTCCCAAGTAACCATTACACGTGATGGAGCCCTGCTTTCCTGGAGATGGCTGAACACCTGCCTGCCCATGGGAAGGAGTGAATGAATTCCTGGTTTTGCTTTGCTTGTGTGCGCGGCTTTTGCTTTACCTATTAAACTGTCTTTATCTCGGACTCCGGCAACAGGCCTTGCAGCCACTCAGACCCCGGCAACAGGCCCTGCGGCCACTCAGACCCCGGCGACATGCACTGCGGCCACTCCAACCCCAGTGACAGGCCCTGCGGCCACTCCCCACGAGTTTTCTCACTTTTACTCTTCCGATTCTATCCCCCATCCCACCGGGTGGGGGGGAGTGAGCGAGCGGCTGTGTGGTGCTCAGTTGCGGACTGAGGTTAAACCACGACAGGTTTGAAAAGTACTTTGGCTTTTAGTTCACCCAAACAAGTCTAAAATTTGTGTGGACCAATCTGCACTTAACATCATACAGGAAGTTTCTCCCTCCCCTTCTTCCGGCATTAAGGAAGCAAAGTAAATTTCTCCAGCCCAAAAGCAAACAAATCTTTTAAAATATAATTTCAAAACAAAAGCATTGTATGAATTTAATTTATTCACAGGATACTTTACTCAAACTAACTGGGGGGTGTGTTTGTGTATGTGTGTGTGTGTGTGTGTATACATATATATATTATAAAATATGAATATATAGTTGGCTTTTTTACTATTACGACTCTAATTTATCATTTTACTTGTTGCCTAATTTATGTCATAACTCCTAGTTATTATGAAAATAGTAAACTACATACGTGCTGTGTTACTGCATGAGGATCTGACTGTTTATTATTTAGTACCTCCTAAGCTCACAGAGTAGGGTGGGAGTGAAGCCCACTGTCCAGGGAGTTAAGACAGCAATCAAAACCGTAAGCAATGCAGGAACTTGGAAGAGATCAGAAGCAGAACGGAATTTCTTGTGTGAGTTAGGTCGGTATTTGCAGCATTAACCCTATGGAATGAAGCTGGGAGACCAGACTACAATTTGTCAACGTCAATCGACAGGTAGGAACTCATTCCACTCTCACAGGCATCATTCGGGGATAACCCGTTTACAGCTGCCACTTGAGAACCTCGGCCAGGGGAGCTCAGGTGGTTCGGCAGAGGGCTTTCAAATCGGCACTCCTTCAGTACATTTCATTACAGGGGTTTGTAGAGTCTCCGTTGCACTTAATATTCCCTCTCTTAAAAGTGGGCCATCTGTTAGCATGACCTTGGCGTCAGATGTAACTATGGGTTAAGTGAAATATTTTGCATCGGAAGCACAAGGGAGATGGCAACTTGGTCACGGTGATAATGTGTTTGACCTCAGTGCAAGCTGTCATAATACGTGAAAAGTTTAGCATTTTTTTAACTAATACCGAGTTTTGCCTCAGGTACAAATTTTGAGACATTAGTTTTATAACCTGTTTTAGTTTTTTAGCAAGTCATATACCAGATTATTTCCCTCTTTGATTAGCATATGCACAATAGGATTGGAATGGTACAAATCTCGCTTTAAGGCTCAATTGCTTTCGTTTTCCCATGTCTAAACCAGGCCAAACGGTAACAATCTGTCATAGGTACACTGAAATGAAACTCTGTTGACTAAGGTTTAGTGTGCTGTTCCAGTGATGCAGCAGAGAGATCTAGGATAAAATATTTTCAGATGCTCAGATGGTGGTCGGTAAAGAAATGCTAAATCTGGTTTTCAGGTCACAAGTGTAAGTCAGACTAATAGAAATGAAGTGTGAAAAATTCTTCCTCCGTATCCTCTAGCAGCTGGTGGGGCTGGTAAGACTCCCAAGTATGCGGCCTTCCCGTAATGTCGTACCGCAGCAGTGTCCTATCAGCTGCTGTCAGATAACCAGGGTAGATTTTGCGTCTCTTAGTCGTGCCGTCACACACTAGTCTCCAGAAGTCTTTAATAGCTTGAATTAGTTGAAATGATTTAGTGAAGAATGGGATCTCAGGGGAAAAGTCAGTTTGGGACTCCTGGGTGCAAAAAGAGGACCTCTTTCTTCATTGTTTACACAAAAACAGCTCTTAAGAATCTGCAGTAATGGTTATTACCTGATTTAGGCACAGCTATAACACAGTACGTATCTTGTGGAGACCCAGTGGGTAAGTGGACACTGGCGCTAGATTTTGGTACATCAGAAATTATTAGGGTCATACAGCTGACGGGCAATTTCCCTTGCTTCCAGAGATCAGCAGCTTTGTAGAATAAAAAGCGAAATATTTGAAACCACCCACAAGATCCTGTCAATGCCATGCTATATCATTCCAGCATGAGCACAGCTAGGATAAAAGCCATCCTCGCGGGTTTGTGTCATTTTTCTATTAGGAAGATATTTGGATCCTTCAGATTCAACGCTAATTCCATTTCCCAAATTATTGCCAAGTTTCAGGAAACTAGTAAGATTATTTCTTAATAATTAATACTTATTACTTTAAAACAATGCCTGTATATTGCCAAAGCACTGTTTAAATAATTGTATAACTAAAACATCACGACCTTGTTTAGATACTAAAACGCTACAACGGGGGCTTTCTGGTGCATAACAGTTTTGGTGTTTGCCAAGAGTTAACTCTTAGCCCATTTGCCAATGCCCATTTTCCCAGGAGTTAGAAACTTGCCAATTTTCTAAATGTCCTTAATTAAAAAGCAGAGTTTAAAACAGAGAAAGAAACACTTGAAGTCAGCGTATTGAAACTTTCTTTCGCTGTGGATCCTGGGGAGAAAATAATCTTGGCTTCCCACACATCAGCACCCGCCTCCCTCCCTGACCCCCGCTCTCCCTTCGCCCACGGTGAGGTGAGCGGATCTCACCGTCCTCTCCCCGCGGCCGTCCCGGTGCTGCAGATCCCGCTAACCGGGCCACGCCTTGGTGAAGAGAGTAGCTCTAAAGCCGAAGTCTTGCTAACAGGGAGCGGGCAGCCTGCTGCGGGTGACGTGAGGCACACGGAGCTGCTTTCTCTCCGCCGGTGACCGACGCGGGCGCCCCGTTCCGCTTGGCGCCGCGCCCCCAGCGCCCCAGCGCACGTTTGCGGCCCTGGAGAACGTTACAGAAGCGGAGCACGAGGGACGGTCCCTCGGTCCCGCTGAGCCAGCGCGGGGAGCCCACA